TGCCAATGGACAAAGCCAAGTCTTCAAGAACTATTTCTTGTAGTTTTTTTAACAACACAATAGTTTAGCCCAAATTTGAGCCATTTTGACATATTTAGCCTCACTTTTCGCAGTGCAGTGACTCACAGATCACACAGATGTTGTCGTTTATGTACTCACCCTGTACTTTTACTATACTCTTTCTATTGTACAAACATAATGTATTTTTGTATTAAACTAAAAAGTTCAGTTGCAGTTTTAAGCTGCATTCTTGGTCAAAATTGGATAATAATAGATGGATAAATGGACAGATGAATAAAGTTTTGTCCCAGACATTCTGTAAATGCTTGGTGTAACCATAGATTGCTGTCTCAAATTCTCAAGTGTTTTGCCCTTGGAGAAACAGAAATGGTGCTTTTTATGGGCTGAAAGTAGTACAAAAAAGTGCTTATGAACTTGGAGCGAATAATTAGTGGAAAAAGTGAGCGTTGAAATTCCGTTAATCTAGTTCATTTCAAATCGGACATGCAGTCACAGTCTTCCTGCGAACATACCTCTACAGTGTGTGCATCCAAGAATAACAGTCCAGCTGGAAGGTCCGTGGCAGCACAATGGAGGCACTTATGCAGAGGCCAACATCCACAAAGGCGTCATGTATGTTTGTACCATACATGTTGTTGCAGTTCGTACCAGGTGTGCCAATGAAACCGTGTCCGCTCTCTCTCGCCGTGTGTCTGCCGCATCAGCAGACTATTAGCCGAGCGCCTTGGCTGCCACTGATAAGGTTTCTCTAAGGGAGCTACGAGTGACAGCAAGTCCTGTCTCTACCCAGCAGTCTGCCCGACACAAGTGGCCCGGCCGGGGGGATTACCGCCCGCCGCCGTTTCTGCTGATGCCTTTCTTTATGTTATCCCCTCCAGTCAGATGTGCCGCATTTGAATAACTCGGCTGATGTCGTGAGAAATGGAACTCTCGGAAATCTCCTTCTGAATACAAATGAAGACCAAGGGAAGACTTTAAAATAAACAGCAGTGAGAAGGGTTGAGCGTCTTAAAGTGACATTTTGGCGGAGGATTCACGGGCAAGTGGAAAAGGATTCACTCTTGTTGTAAACAAATGAGGCTAGAACAATCGAGCGATGGCCGCCGCAGAAGGCAAAGCAGACATCAGGGAAATGTAATCTGCACTTGCCCTGTGCTTAAATGCAAATAGTGAATTCTCATCCTCAAGAACCGGAGCTATTGTTTCACGACGACGAGGCGAGAAAATGAAAATTCTATATTCACTGGATATGCCACACTTTATCGTGTTGTTTATCACTATAAGAATAAGCACTAAGAATTTGGAACAAACTCAATTGGTCTTTTCCCCAAAAGAGTCCGCAGTCTACAGCTGCTCAAACAGGAGTGGGACTAGGCAAAAAGAGAGGTCTTTGGAAATGAAACAATCACACAAATGGTCAAAATAATGTGAGAAGATTAGATGGACCTTTTTGAGTCATCAAAGTCACTCGTTTGATTTTCTATATACTACACTTTGATGAGAAGCTGCAGAGTTTATTTTTGTGTCAGTTTCAAGGCAAGGCAAGGCAAGTTTATTTGTATAGCACAATTCATACACAAGGCAATTCAAAGTGCTGAACAAAACAAGAAAGCATTAAAATCATAAATAATCACAGAACATTAAAAAGGAAGATAAAAATATAAAATCCCTCAGTTGTATGCACAGCTAAACAGAACTGTTTTTAACCTGGTTTTAAACATTGTCAGAGAGGAGGCCTGTCTCACATCTTCAGGAAGATTATTCCAGATTTTAGCAGCATGAATCTTCAGCTGGTGTTATGCCACGTTTTTCAATGAAAACTGTCGCAGCTGAATAAGGTTTGTTTACATGTTTGAAACAACTTTACACACAAGTTATTTGCTATAAGCTGCACAGTTCAATAGAGTTCACTTTGACATCTTCAGAATTAGACTCACTTGAGGAATGAATGAAATGAAAACCTGCAGCCACACTGGCCCTTTGAGGACCATTTTGAGGGTCAAATACTTCCCCGTGTATTAGAATCCAGAATTAGGAAAAACAAAAAAACATATTTTGAACAAGTGTCTTAAATATGACTCAACCATTTCCTCTTTTCCTGGTATGTCGCACTTACACATCACCAGACAATCAACAAAAATCATATTCCGAGCTGTTTGTCGGTATTGACCATATCCTGGAAGCTTTCATTCACCATCACTCACTTCTGCACAAACGTCACTTCTGGCCTGTAAATGATCCACCCTGGAGGTTTACTACCACAAACACTTTTTCCGCTAGTCGTCCATGTCTTGTTATTTACATGGCCTGTCACTTGCGAGGAGGAGTGATGCTGATGGGTTAGGAGGCTCGCTAATCCACTCTGCCGCTGTCATTAGAGAGAAGCAAACAGACTATTACCACCTCCTCCTCCTCCTCCTCTGCACTCATCATAAAGCCACACACACACACACACACACACACGCACATATACACACACATACGGGCACAGCTGCGGAGGAGAGAGCCTCTTGTTTCTTTAGCACTGCTGAGTGGAGCCCTGCTTGGGTAATTGATCCTGTTCAGTGCGAGAGAGAGGGAGAGGGGGGAGACTGAGGCACAGGGAGGCCCTAAGTGTTGTCAGTTTGCTGCATTAATTTTTCAGCGGCGGCCGAAGCGAGGAGGGGCCCACCGCAGAGCTCGTTCACGGGGACTATAGGCCAGATCGCCGTATAGAACCAAATTGAACTAGTTTGTTTCATAAGTGGATATATATTCTGATTACGTTAATTACGCAATAATCAGCGGTCTCTACATTACTCCTATTGCAACAAAACTATGGTCGTTCTTTACACGGGGCTGATTAACGGACATACATTACGTTACACTATAATTGTGTTGTTTGGTGGATTTAGCGTTTTAGCGTGCCTTTTCTCAGCAGCAGAAAGAGGGAATCAACAAACGCAAGCAATTAACATCTATTCATAAGCAACATTAAGCAGTTAAGCTAGCTAGCATGCCGTCGAGATGCACGCAGTTTGACAGCAGAAATAAAATGCGTCTGGTGATTATTTATGAGCCTAAAACAGAGTAGGATAGGATTTCAGGAATGATTTAAAACCAAGTGATTTCCGAGGGTCGTGGCGAGTACAGGATTAATACAAACAGCTTAAAGAAGAAGGAACGCATCTTATGTTCCTCTTACATGATCTTTTAAAGAAATTTAGGCATAATCCTTAATGTGGCCACACTTGCATGCCAAAGCTATAGATCCTGTCAGACCTTTGAAGATGGGCAGGGCCTGGTTAGTACTGTGATGGGAGACCTCTGGGAACACCAGATGCCACAGTGGGGCGGTTGTAAAGGGCCAAACCGTGGTTGTGTCCTTAGGCAAGACTCTTCACCCATATTGCCTACAATGAGTTTGGTGTGTGTGTGAATGGCTGGGGGGAGTCAGAGGGGCCAATGGCACAGACTAGCGGCCTCACTTCTGTCAGTGTGCCCCAGGGCAGCTGGGGCTACTGTTGTAGTTTATAGTCACGTGTATGGAGTGAGAAGCGTCATAAGAAGCGTCTTTGAGTGTCCTGAAAAGCACTATATAAAAACTGCATTATTATTATTATTATTATTTATTTATAAAAAAACAATTATGTTTTCAGAGCTTCTACACCTTTTTTTCTTCAAGGAGTGAACATTAAATAGTTAGCAATATTTTCAAACCTCTGAGTCTAACCCATCGGTACGATTCAGGTGTTCCGTCCATTTCCAACAGTCACCATCACCATTTGCATAAGTCAGCGTTGTGATTCAGCTGTTTATCTCTCCCAGGCCTCTCTCCCCACGATGACATATTTGTTGTTGCTGGTCTCAAAAATAGCCTTCTGCTGGTTCTGTGACGTGGGTCCCTATGCGCCCATGCATTCCGGCGTACAGTATGTGCCGCTGATATTAGACAGACTTCACTTTGTGGCTTGTGATCCGAGCTCCGGCCGCTCCACGCTGACTCACGGAGGCAGTTTCTGATGGCACAGAGGCTGCATGTGACATCAATAAATAGAACAACATGGTGTAGTGCAGGACAATACTGATGACTTCTACAGACCCGGGAATCAGTAAATCCTATGTGCATGAACTTAGGATATGCTACAAAAGGAACTCTGTATATTTTATGATACAAATCTATACATTTGCTGCACTAACTTCACAATAACAAATGATTTGGAGCGAACCGATTCCGAACCGAAGACGATAAAACCCTATCGAGTAATTATACCAATAATCATAATTCAAAAGTTCAATATGAGTTTTTAACTATGTGAGTTATTATATAAGTAAGAAAATCACAAATCTGATTTTGATGGGGAAATATTGCTTCAATGTAATATTGAATATATATTCCTAAGAATATAACAGCAGATTTGAATAACTATCAGTCTAATTGCATCCTCGAATGACGCTGCACTTATTATAGTGTAAAAAAGTAATCTCTCCACTTTTGCAAAGTTAATTTACAATAACATAACGACAGCAGTATTACTTTGAAAACTTCCTCTGTCACTCATTGAAAGATATATGAATAAACCAGTGTTGTACTACTACTACTGCTATTACTACTACAAGCAACAATATATATTTTTAAATGGGGCCTCTATTTCTTACTGAAAATCAAGAAAGAAGCATATCGAGAAATTTATTGCAGTCATTTATATTGAATTGAAAGTATAGTCAGACTCTGAAAGATACCCATTTCAAACAATTCAATGTAGTTAAACTTTACTACAGACTTTAGGTCCAATTTAAAACATACCGTCGGACAAGACAAAAAAAGAACTAACAAACAGTTATGACTTTACAAGACAGCCACACCAGCGTCTCCACATCTGGACTGAACCCTCTCATATTGCACTTGTTCTTAAATGAACTCCTTGTGTTTTGGTTTTCACTCCCAGCTACATATTCCAAACATTATATTTACTTTGATATCTCCAAACCTTCCGCCCATGCTCCATCCTCTGCCCTCCAACACCTCCCTCCCCTTACCATCCTCATGTGACGACCCGTGGCTCATCTCCATTAACTCCTCTCTGGCCTCGCGTTTTTTTCCCAATGCGGTCGGCGTCTGTAGTGGACGCTGCCTCTTCCCCGCGATCTGCCAAACACGTCCGTGACTCACTGACTCACTGGCCGCTGCTTTGCTCGGGACGTCACCGCTGACATTCGTTGCACATATGACTCATAATTTCTCTCATTTTTTTCTTCCCCTCTCGTCGTGTAGCAATTGGGAGCGTGATAGATTTCAATTAGCGCTCATAGTACTGACTGTGCGCTGGAAGCTGAGACCGTAAGCACGCTCGCAGATGACAAGTTAAGTGCATAAAACCAAATACATTGTGGACACAGAGTGCCCAGGGCCTTCTCATAGTCAAAACACAGTCACTACATGTCCGGATGGGTCAAATGCAAAGGACAAATCTCACCCCAGGGATCACATCTCTTATATCTGGACTGACGCACCGGAGCTAGTGTTGTGTCCAAAGTGCTTTCCAAATGGTCCGTCTTGGCAAAGCCTGTTCCGGAGGTTCACAGAGCAGCAGCAGCAGCGGCGGCGGTGGATTGATGCGGCCGTCACCCGCCCAAAAGCAGCGCGTTGGGATTGATAAATGTCGCAGTCCGGTCGATTATGTGTGTAGTTTTTCAGCCAGCGCTCAGAGAAGGATGGATCAGGGTTGGATTAAGTTGTTTTTAATGTTTCCGATAGAACGGGCGTTAGTTAGAAAAGCTTGCGGCTAGAAAAACAAGTCTGACTTTTTCTTCATTAAACATTGTGATTAGTGATGCAATGGAAGATCAAGCATGTATTCAGAATATAAAATAGATTTTTATTTGCAATTTTGTTTGAATTCCTATTGATTATCGCAATGAATAAATATGTATTTACAAAATTGATGAATAGGTCAGTCCTGTGTTAAAAATAAAACGTATTTGACTTATCCATCAATTGGTTCTAATGATACAGCAAATGGCGATGGACGGATCTGTCAAACCAAGACACATCGATACTGACAGAAGGAAACAAAAACATTCATCCTAAAAAAATAAAGTCTCTGCTTTTTATCCAAATGTATTTGGTTCAACTAATTCCAGCTGCGTTGGAGTGAATTTATTTTTCTCATATTAGATTAGATTAGATTCTACTTTATTGTCATGACAGTGTTCAGAACAATGCAACATAAAGCAGTTCAGCATCGAACCAGAAGCAAGTATAGGACATTCACAGATACCTATATATATATATACATCTATGTGACACTTTACACAGCTGCTACTGCTAATATATATATATATACATACATACATTATATTACATTAAAGTGGGTCTAACATGTGTTAACAGTGTGAGAGTTAAAGCACGTTTCTCGTGATGCCAAAGTAAATGTCTTTTTATACTTTCAACACATTAAGTTAGGGCTGGGCGATTAATCGATTTTAATCATTAATTTGAGTTTTACGTTTAGGGCGATTTCTTTTTTTTTTAATTCGATTTTTATTTTCTCCAGCGCAGAACTACAGCGCTAACGCGCTAACCGCGGGTCTATGGTGTTGAGCAGTCATTTTGAAGCTAACCTAATGCTAACAGTCTCCCTCTGGCCTGATGCTCGCTCTCACAGTTGGTGCTGTTGCAATAACACTTCAAACGTTCAAGAATCAGACTTTATTTAAATCGCCAGAACACACACACACACGCACGCAGGCTCCGGTCGCTATGTTCGTACGCCATGTTCGTACGCCACATCTTTCACGCTCTCTCACGCTCGTTATTCCAAAGCGCACTCCCGTGTCCGTGGCGCGCACACACTCGTGTCCCACTGAGCCGCTGCACTTTGGGGAAAGACACGTCTCACACATTGTTCTCATTGCTCTGATACAAACAACGTGTTCCCCGCTGTCTGTTAGCTACAGTAGCTGTTAGCTACAGCATCAGAATGTAAACAGGAAGCTCGCACAATGCGGGAGTCACTGAAGTTAGTATTAGCGCCACCAGCTGGACCGAGCGTTGTACTACAGCACAGTTACTCAGGCACAGTTGAAAGAACAAGCATGAAAACCCGAGGAGGCTTTTAGAAAATACTGTCTGTTACAACATTTCTATTTTGAGTAATCAGTTTTAAAAATATGATATTTCATGTAAATAATGCATGTGTTTAATAGGATTGATATATTTGCGATGGGCCTTGTTTGTGTGATTTAAGTTATTTTGAAGGTGCATAGTGTCATTGTAAGTGAAGTTATTATAAAACTGTTAAGCTACATTTTCACTGTTTACAATGGCAGAGCCATCTCGTTTACAAGCATTTTTTAAGGCTTAATTCCTGTTACACTTATGCTCCATGGGGATTTAGATTAAACTGCATAAAGGAAAATCTATTTCTTTGTCAGTTATAGTTTGTTTTTAAATAGAAAAAAATAAATCGATTAAAATCGAAAATCGGATTTGGTGTGAAAAAATCGGAGATTTTTTTTTTTTGCCATATCGCCCAGCCCTACATTAAGTACAGTAGACACTGATATCGTATCGGGGCTCGATATGACAATATGTGCTGTCGTATAACTTTACAATATCGGATCAAAATCTAAATCATTGGTGTCTCTCTGAGCTCCGCAGCCAAACAAGCGTGTTTTATTGCACTGGGGGCTTCGTCCTTCAGGACCTGATGTTTGACGCCTTCCATTATGATGGAAATGTTTCCGCGAGGACGCATTACCAACTCTGGTGACTAGTAAATAGTTTACGACGTGCTGTAAAACAAGTGTTTGATCTGTCTCCTGAGTTAACTTGTTTGTATCTCTTTGGATTCTTTTTCTTTTAAGGTGCAGAACTTTTGGACATAATGTACTTTTGTCTGTTTTTGGTCTTTTACATCCAAAGTTAGCACGAGGGGCTCTAAAATACATAATTTGAGTAACAACAAGGAAGGAAACAATTCTTATACAATTATCAAAGTCTCTGTAGTTCCTCGCTCTCAAAACAGTTTGGTTCTAAAAAAAACACTTCTGGACAGAAAAATATGGTTTGATACTATTTCTATTCGGGCATATATTTATGGAACAAAAGAAGTTAGATACCCCAACTTCAAGCTGCAGCTGGTTTTGTTTTATCCCTAAATCAACAGTAAAAACACCTAATGCGACCTGTTTTCAATGAAGAACGTCACATGGAGGGCTCTTAAAATCTAGCCCCTCTCTCTGCAGACAACAAATGCCTTTAATAAACTGTTGTCACGTTATTACAAACATAAATTAGGCCCCAGCGTCTGCGTCTGTGCCCTAAAAAAAGACGAGTCACATAACATTGTCACGAAAACCAAGTATTTCCCTTCAGGGAGAATGCTGCGATGTTAAGCACACGTGGATGACAGTTCATATGTTGGAGTGATTTATCAGGGCGTTAGCTGACAAGAGATGACATTTGTCTGATCTGCTAAATGATTATTTGCAGACATGAGATGGGTATTGATAGTCTCGTCTTGAAAAATGGCCAACAAAAGTCTGCGGGCCGCCCACATAGCGAATTACAATTACGGCAAAACAGGGCTCTTATCCAAGCAAGAAAAAAAGCGTTTGTTTTGTGCTGGTGCGTGACATTATGAAAGCGGGATACCATCGTGGATATTACGATCGTTGGGTGATTATACAGACAAATACCGCTTTTGATATTGTAATTTGATTGTGTGAGTGTGTAATACATGTGTTTGCTTGTTTAAATAAGGATTGTAAGGGTAAAGCTTTTGTTTACGTTTCATGATATTAGGTGCGGCTCTTTGCAAAAATGAATACATAAAATCAGAATCAGAATCAATCTATTGCCATTTGCAGGACACACACACACACACACACACACACACCCACACACACATACACGTTTTTGTTACCTGGTGGGTCCCTTTGACAGGGCCGTTCAGAATGGGACCCATAGACATAATCTTTTTTTACTGGGACTACTTTAAGTAATACAAAACAGTCAATAGAAACCAAACAACTATTTTAAAGGAATTTTATTTTAGATTTTGTTTTCGAATTGCAGTGATTCTATTTTTGACATAGAATTTAATGCCACTCCATGTCCGATGTCTAAGGTCATCTGGTGAGGCATTAATGCAGGCCAGGCAGTGAGACTTCCCAGGGACCTTTCCAGTCTGTATGAAAGGTGTCATGGTCTTCTCCACAGCCTTCACCTCAGATGCAGACCATGGCTTTCTTACACGTTCTAGGGAGAGAAATAAAAATATATTAGCAATATACACTCCCAGGGTTAGGACCAAGCAGCCTGGCTGTAATCCCCCACCTGGTACACTTACCAGAAGGGGCACTGCCACTACCATGGGGTGCATCTGGATGAATGGTTGAAGGTTCTCCGCTTGAAGTTTCTTTTAGCCCGTCCGTTTGTGAGAGGATCTCTACTGCTCTCCCTGTCGCACAGAATATAAAAATACAAGTGGCCTTTAGGGGAAAAAAATCATACATATTTTAATAATATCAAGAATTACCTTCAGGCTCAATTTGTATCTGGTCGAGGCTCTTTCCTTCGAATTCCGTCACTCTTCCCTGCTCCATGGCCATCAACACTTTGCTGATTTTGGCCAGCTCCAGTGTCCCCTCTGGTAGTCTGTAATATTGCCTGTGGATGCGAATGTCATGGCCGAGGAAGTTGGCAAGTATGTCCATCTCATTCTCTTTCATATTGAGAACTGTAGACATAGTAGCTATGTGCTTTCTAAGTTTGGTTGAGGATAGCATCTCTGGATGCACCGCACCACATTCTTTGGCTACCTGGCGTAGGGAGTCTGATCCCCTGATGTGGGTGTCTGCGCCCGGGCGGGAAAAGAAGTATGGGTTATGGTCAGAGATGGAACAGGCCCTTCTGTTCTCCACCAGCACCTCCATCGAAGCAATCATTTCAGGAGTCAAAAGAACCGGCACTTTCCGACTTCTTTTCCCTTTAATTTCAATGCGTTGAAAATGCTGACACAGCTTTTTCTCAAGTTGGGACAGTCCCAGAGCAATGTCAGAATGGATCCCAGTCTTACTTCTTAAGGTAAAGGCTGTCAGTGGCATCTTTGAAACCTCACCTTCCCTTCTTCGATTGAAAATGATGACCTCACAAAGAGTCAAAACTGCCAGTTTAGACCAATGCTTAGACGTTGGCTCACTTATTAGGGTTTGCACATATTCAGGTCGACATACCTCAATATGTGCATGCATGGCTCTAACGTCCTCAGTCAGAGGGAGCAGGTCCGGAGTGTTCCACTTGGCTTGCCGGAGGGTCTGTAGGGCAGCAGAAGAAACACAGACGTCCCACCTCTTCTCAAAAAGCAGCCGGCTTCGTTGGAGGTTTTTAATAAATAGTTCATCAACACAATGCTCCATTTTTGAGTCACATTCAAGAATATCTGCTAGCTTTCTGAGGCTATGGCCGAGTTTGAGGGCCAAGGATGGAGTCTTGTATTGATTTGTTTCCTCATCATATCCAGCCACAGACCTGACTGCATCAATCACATGGTTAAAGTTGGAAGGAATAAAGAAATCCTTAATTGTTTTCAGTTTCCCTGCGGTTTTTGCTTCGTTAATTAACCTACCGACTTCTCTCATTTTCTGCCTAATGTAATCATGCTTAGTCTTATCATGCCCGTGTTTTAAGTACAGGTGCTCTCCGAGTCTCAGAATCCCCTTTTCTGCTTTGACAACACCCGTGACCTCATCCTGATGCATTGCCGAAATTAAAGACCACAGCTTTTTGCTGATGCCCTCCGGTACAGGCTGGGCTAGGGAGCAGAGGGACTGGACCCTACTTCTACCTGGTTTAGCCTGGGCATCTTTCTGTGAAAGCCGGCACCTGGCCACATGCCTCCACAGCGACTTTCGCTTAAGCAATGCCCCACAGTCTATACAGTGCAAAAACTCACTGGATTTAACTGGGGAATTTGGCTGTTTAGCTGGGACTAAAGTTCCAATGCCGGCCTTTAAAACCTCAAAATTGTGCTCACGGTTTCCACTATTCCTGATCAAATCAAACTGAAGTTTACGTGCTTTAGATTTCACAGGTAGAGCCAATGCTCTGGCTACGTCACTTTCATTTCCATGTTTTCTAGTCAAATGACGGGACATTTTGTGGCAGGACATTGAACAGTAGAGGCAGAAGTGTCTCTTGCTGTAAACTCGCCCCCCATTTTTCTTCTTTTGCAGCTGCATGATAACAATCTTATTTGCCTTTGGTTCGTCACTTTCCGAGTCTTGAAGAAAAGTGTTTTTGATTTTTCTTTTTCCATACTTTTTTACAGGTTTCTTCTTGACAGTTAAATCGTCAGAATCTGAGTCGACTTCATCAATTAGGGACTCTTGACTAAGCTGCACAAACAACAAATAATTTGTAATCATTCTATATAACAATTTGAAGTCATGACTTGTAGTCAGCACTTACCAGTGGTTTGTAAGCGTGCGCTTCAGTGTGCTCCTCCATGATTTCTTGCAGCCTAATGAACCACACACTTGCACCTTTTTCTAGCCTGACACCTGATTTCCTCTGTTGTGCTGCTCCATGATTGGCTCCAGCCTGCTGGACTGAAATTGCCCCAGTGTGCCCCTCCTTGATATCCCGCAACCCACCACCAGGGTTCCGACACATAACACACTTTTTTCAGGAAAGTAAACCTCCAGGGGTCCTTTCCATATTTTTACAGAGACTGCATAAGGACCGTTAGAAAAGCATTACCCATTGATTATTAAGCTTGGACCAGTGGGGTCCGGTGTTCGGGCCCCACCACGTAAAACCAGTCCCCATGACGTGAGTGGAATCTCAGGTTATGGAACCCACCAGGAGTTGAAAACAAGTGCACACACACACACACACACACACACACAGACAGTAAGAATACAAATAGCGAGGCAAGACACAGTGAAGTCTGTTTAGAAGAAGATAGTCCTCTCTTCGTCCCACAATGGGGAGATTTCAGTTCATTGGATACACATACACATCAAGACATGCAGCGTACAATCACTTCCGCGCTCCTTATAGGCAAAGTAAGGTAAAGTGTCTTGCCCAAGGACACAACAACAGCAGACGTCAGTAGAAGGTCTTGTTTTGGGCTCGAATCCACGACGGTCAGGCTCAAAGGCCAATGCTTTACCACCTGAGCCACTGTCGCCCCAGTATCTCATATTCGTAGAACTCATGGATGTAATTTCTACTCAATGTTGCACAATAAAGATTGTAATTAACAAATGACAACAGGGAGGGACTTTTAAAATATATTTATTATGAAAAATACTAGATGATACTACAGGGTCATATGGTAAATACATGTATCAATCTCCAAATTCAAAACAATTGAAGTTGCAGACATCACCTTTAAGGAAGTATGAACGTCTTGAGCTATGGTACTTCTCTGTGCAGTATTCTCACTATGTTTACAATATTTCATGCAATATTTTGAAAGTCTATATCGATCTTTCACCCCCAACACGACCATTTAAGCCCCCTTGACAATAAGACTAATATACTGCTTATGTTTCAGATAAGATAAGAGCTTTGGTCCTCCCACAGTCGGGGAAACCGGGGTGGCGGCACACATTACAAAACATTAGGATAGAAAGAAACACTCAAAACAATATGAATGGTTGTATAAATGTAGTGAATAAAACTCTTAAGCTGAAGTATGGATCTATAATTACTTTACAGGATTATAAACAAGTGCCCTGGAAGAGTTGTCGACTAAAGAATGGATGGTGTTGGTTGGAGGCTTTGTCATCACCGTGTGTGGAGAGAATGGAAAAACTGAAATCTAAACAATTGTAAAGCGCTTTGGGTGACCTTGGTCTGTAATGCCTCGCGTACATCGGACTGGGAACTGATTATATCCGTCGCCTATGAGTTGCTGCCCTGCACACATCGACAATGTGGCGAAAACGGGCCAGTAGCAAGCCATTCTCGGGAATAACAGCGCGTACATCGACAGCAACTGGCCTCAACTACAGTGTGTTTTCTGACATAAACTGTAGAGGGCGCGCAATACACACATGTTGTTGGAGCGCGCACATCGGGTGATATCTCCGGATCTGAGTACAACTAGTTTCCGAAAAGTAGAACACGGGCAACTGACTGAAACCGGAGATCGACTGTTTATCTCCAGTTGTAAGAGCGCTCACATCGACCGATTTCGGCAACTGATCATCTCCATCATCTCCTCTCAGTTGCCAAAAGCCGCCTTGCAACTAGTTGTCTCCAGTTGCTCTGTCGATGTACGCTCGGCTTTAAAATACGCTAAATATTAATAAACCTTTCTACTTAATACTACTAAAGCAGATAGACAGTTTGTTGTTGTGCGTGCGGTGCATACTGTGTGTAATCGAGTCCAGGTCACACAGGTGCAGGTGTGTAGTCTCCCCGTGTCTTCTCTCTTCCCCAGCGCGGCACTAGCCAGGACAGGCCTTCTCCCACTCCAAAAGCATGATTGCATTCTTGAGCTATTCCCTCCTCCCCCTCCTCCAGAACAAGAGCTCTCTGCATCTCTCTCCCTTTCAAGTAGAGGCTGCCGGCCGTGTTTCCCTTTGAAGATATAATCTGGGAAAACACAGAGACATCTCCGGGATTAACTTAAATGTCTTCGGTATGTCAACAGGCCGGCCCGCTGCGGCTGCCTGTTTAAAAAGGGGGGCGCTCTCCATGACGGGCGAGGAGAATGCCACGCCGCGGAGGTAATCACAGGGTCAACGCCAGCCACTGGGCGCAGGACAAACACCCACTGTTACTGTTACTGCAGCGCCATAAACAACACACACACACATACACACAATCCAATGATGTGTTTCCCCACGAGGACACACCGGGTTTACAATGAGACGTAATCGCAGCCAGTGGGTAGAATAGTGCGCCGTCGCTGCAGGTGAGGCCGCTTTGTCACGGGCAAATTGGAAATGGAAAATTTAGGAGCGTTCTGTGTGATGTGGTAACAGAAAGAGTTCTAAGTGATGTGATGTAGGGACGGTGAGCCACATGTGAAATGAACCGAAGGAAACACAAACTTGGTGGGTAGAACTTTCTTAAAGGACAAATCTTTGGAAAATAGACTTTTTTTAGATTTTGTTTCTTTGGTTTTCATTATGTTTTAAAGCTGGGAAGTCTAATCTTTTTGTTTTATATATACATTCATTTGTTTTCGTCTCAACAGAAAGAGTCCACAAGTCGTTTTTTTAAATCTTCATTAGAAAACATGTTATTGTTGGCAAACCTGAACGCTCCCTGAAAGTCAATATTTGACTGTTTGGGCTGAGAGCTGATTGGCTGAGCAAACGTAGTCCGCTCTCTATCCCATGTCGGTCTGAAAAGGCTGATCTAAAGATATGAAGTCCACAACATAATATCAATATGAAAACTGTTTGTAAAGGTTCATTTTACTGGTTGAAAAGAGGCACCAGCTTTTAACTTGCTTTCATACATTCATACTTTCATACATACATTTTTTCTCTCCTCCTGAGTCATTATGAATATCCTAGAACTGTGACATTACAGCTTTGGAATCCTTTTGCAGTCTTATATAGTGTGTATACATTATCCCCAGACTCAAATTCTAAGCATTTCTGCCAGAAAACGCATGCCTGAGCCTGAGCTTGTTCTTGCTTTTTGGTTTATTCCCACTGATGTCATCTGATGAAGTGAATGGATGGATTGTTTAAACACAAGGACTTTTATTTCAACTTCTCAAACATGATCTGCCCTATTCAAGATGAAGCCTGATCCAAAAACAATACAAATGTGCCCTTCTGTTTACATCTCCCCCTCCCATCTTTCTCTCCGAGCTCAATATCCATCACGTCTCAAAAGTGGTGCGGACGTAATGGACATGTTTATGGGCCCGCTGTGATTTAAGCTTCATAAGTGCCTCGTAACTCTCCAATAAGATCTCGACTTTGTATTCTCATGCGCTGTTATCTCACGGGATTTTCATAGGAAGGGTAAGTGTTCCAATCGCGATCGCTTTGGGAACTCGTTGTTATCATAATTACCTGCTGAGCGATGACTGCAGCGCGCGCCCCGTGCCCTGTGCCTTGTGTGGGCCACCGCCTGCTCCCACATCCCTTTTGTTGTTTTTCTTCCCCCCTTGTTCTCTACAGCCAGGAACACGGGACTACGAGCCAACAGTGCAAATATTGTTTTGGTGAGATCTGGCCAGGAGATTGTTGATGGGACTTGCGTCAGTGTGTGTGCGTGTGCGGGCGCTGGCAGGCCGCACGGAAGCGCTCCCGTGGGTCCCGACTTATCCCAGGCTAACCAGAGACCTCATCTTCTTGCTTTCAAACAGCTTGCTCCGGCTGCCGCACTGGGGCCTACCCGCATGGAGTTTTATTACAAATGGTCTTTTTTTTTTTTGAATGAGGCAAAACAGTCCATTCACGCGCTACGGTGAGCCAGGCTGTGCTCATATACTGTAGATGGATTAAAACGTCTAACCCGGGCTTGTTTTCTCTAGTCTCTGGAGAGAAGTAAACTAGTTTCTTGGTTTCTTTAGTTTTTGTGATCATTTATAACGAGGAAAACACTGTTGAATATGCACTTTGATTTACTTGTTTGCTAACACGATTCTAGGAGTGGTGTGTCAAGACGAGCAATGTCACATTCATTTTGATATGGCCAAATTATAGCTGATTGAATTTTGATTGAATGTGGCTATATAGCATTTCTTATTTTTATTTTTATTTAACCAGGAAAGTCCCATTGCGATTAAGAACCTCTTTTTCAGTCCTGGATAAAAGTTATAGCCAACATTTTTCTTGTAGCAGTTGTGGCGCTTGCTTTAATTCTTTGCTCATTCTTGGCTGACCATTTAGGGTGTATTCAGACCTGAAAAGTCCTTTGCTCCGCTTGCTTGATCCGAATCAAAAGCGGACCAAACTTTTTTCTTTTGCTCCGGTTCGTATTCAGACTGTCCTTTTTGCAAGTGAACTTTTTTATATAAACATATCGACACGTGTGACGATCGGCTCCTATTGGACAGCAGAGCTCAGGGAGGATAGACGCGGAACCAGAGGAAAACATTGAGGGCTCGTATGTGCAGCATGTAGAGCAGACATGCTGCACATACGCCTATGTTTGCTCTTTTTAGAGCAAAACCACCTTCAACATCAACAGCAGCAGCTCATATGACGCAGGCGAAACACGTTGTTTTAAATATTGGAACAGCGTCGGAGAATGCGTGAGGAGAAAGCCGAAGGAGACTGTGCGCTCCGTGCCCTGTCCCACACATGGATCTATGATAATAACGGCCCTGTTCAACATTGTGGATAAACCATGGATCTATAATAACCACGGGACAAACAGACGCTGAGGATCAGGTAGGAACCAAAGAACACAATTCACTACATGATAAGGAATATTGCTTTTTGAGACGTGAGTCAAACAGTGTCAGGTTTTTAATAATGCAAATGATTTGAAGATGCTGCCATTAACATCAATGTATTCTGTGAACAGTTTTAACTCCATAAGCCTGTTGCACAGCGTCTCCTCACTGCTCCAGGTCTGCACACGGCTCAGTGTTGTTGTGTAGCGTTAGCAGCATAGTTAGCAGCATAGTTAGCAGCATAGTTAGCAGCATAGTTAGCAGCATAGTTAGCCGCTGCATGGCTAATTCCTCAGTTTCTGTCTGCGGCTTGTTAAGCCCAAAAAATGCGCACGTATCTTGGAGTTGTGTCGGATCGACACCGGATGTATTCAGACCTGATTCGACTTGGACCAGAATTCGTTTGGAAGCGGACCGAGACCACCTCAAAAAGTGGGTCTCGGTTCGGTTCTTTGATCCGGACCAGGATTCGTTTGTGTGTATTCAGACCTGCATAAAAGCTTCGGATCAGAGTTCCAAACGAATCCTGGTCCGTTTAAAGTGGAGCAAATGTGCAGGTCTGAATACACCCTTAATCTAATACATGTTTTTAGTGCAACTATCCAAACCATGGGTGTCAAAGTCAAGGCCCGGGGGCTAGATCCGGCCCTGCGAATTAATTATCTTGGCCCCCGGGATGATGGTTGCTTTGTATTAGGACCGGCCGCACAGAGCCATAAAAAAATAATGGAGTATTCATTTAATGTTCAGGACATGTGTTTTTTCTTTGAAGGAAGTTTCTTTTTTATCCGTGAACCTGTTGAAACATGTTTCCACTTGGAATTACTGACACAAAAATATTGGATAATTCATTTAATTTTTGTGGCTGTCAGGAAATACGGTACACTCTGTTAGGTCTTGGTTCAATAGGTTTTATTCATCAATTTAATATGTTTTAATACACATTGAACCAGTCCGACCCTCGGCTTGTAGCAAATTCGTTTTTTTGGCCTCTGATGTATTTGACTTTGACATCCCTGATCTAAACAGTAGTAACACATGTGGTCTATTCTTGTACCAGTCGTCAATCTTGCCATGGATAATCAATATATTATCAATGTTGTGTGGCTAACGCTAATTACTCTCACTGCAAACAAGTCGGACGCATGCAGAAGACTGGGCTGCGATGCATTTTCAAACACTGGAAGGGTCTACAACAAAGTATTGATCCTTCCTTGCATTTTCATTACGCTATTAACAAGATACCGGGCTCTTCTCGTCAAAACTCTCACTACCCAAACGATCTCAGCTGCAATTCTCAAACTATGTGACTGTATATTGTAGGTCCGTCAACAAACATCAGCCTGTTTTTCCAGCGCATCTCTGGTTAAACAATACAGACGAATTTGACAATATTTGACCTATATGCTTTATCCAAACGCTACTCCTCGGCTAATTTCCCCCGTTGATAAGTATCTGACAGTAAAGTGTTTTATCTCGGCTGGAGGGAAATGGCCTCTCCCCTCTCTTCTCTCTCTCTTCTCTCTCTTCTCGCTCTCTCACTGCACCGATCGATCGCCGGAGACTCCTGCTTCATTTAAAATTGCGTTCTCTTGTTTCTAAAGTCCCTGCATTTGCATAAAGGTAATCAATTAGACGTATTAGTGCCCTTGCTCTTTTAGCTTAACGCCGGGCTTTCCATTCGCCGATTTCGCTGCAAAAGATCCTTCCCCATCTACCAGCCGACACCGCCATTGACTGGTGCTTGCCGCGTTGGGTTGGGGGGCATTGATTTTTTCGCCGTTCTTCTTCCATCTCTTCCCTGCTTTAACAGTTGATGAGTTGTGTTAAGACGACGCCCAGGGAACAGCCCATAGCCTTTGCCTGTTTTTAAAGGAGATGAGGTTGATTTTGATTGCTTTCTCGGCGCGGGGCTGGGAAAGGTGTACAGTAAGACGCGATGAATCCCAGCAAGAAGCTAGAGTAAACGCACCGGTGTTAAAGGCTTTTAGCAGTCAAACTTGGGCTTTGTCATCAAATCACTTTAAAGTCTCGGCGAAGAGAATTGGTTTATCTCAAGTCAATGAACAAGGCGCATTGTCAGATAGGAGGATTGTGGCGTTAAGGGAGTAATACCAGGACAGATTATGAGGAGCAAGAGCACAGCGTTTTTCAATTATGTGGCGGTTATCTGCCGTGTTCATGGCCAAGTGTGTTTGGAGACAATAGCACGAGGAAATTGTGGAGTTACAAGTCGTGGTGTGTTGATGTTAAAGGCGTAGAATACAGACGGTGAATGACAAATGTGGCATATTCTTTGGCTAACATTTCCCGATTCAGTACATTTGGCACTCGTGGATTTATTTCAAACTAGAACTGTTGTTTT